AAGCCTCTATAGAAAAACATATATATCTCACTATCGAAAAAGACTATATTCTTAAATTAAGAATATATTCTTAAATAAAGAATATATTCTTAATTTCAGAAGAATATCATCTAAAATCTTTAAGATTTTTTAAGTATAAAATCTTCTACTTACGAGAATATAATTTTTTCGGTGTGCGATCGGCTCGGATGTCCGTAATTATTTCTTATTTAGTAACTTATCGAGCTTCAATAAGCTTTATTTGTTAGAAAAAATATCGTTTGCGGAAGATACAGACGCGATACAGATTGATGGAAGAATATTTCGCGTCGTATAAAAATATCACAAAGTATTTTTTTTTTTTTTTATTTCGAATCAACAGATTAATTGTCCGAAGTCGGAGAATTATTATTTCGCGCGTGCGAGAAATGTCCGGCGCGACATTTGGCGCGAAATGTCCGTTGTCGTGTTTTTAATCCAAGTCTCTCGCGCCGTAAATCGCTGAGATGTAAAATTTGCGCGGCGATCGTGCTTAAGAAACGCGAGAGCCGCGAGATTTCTTCGCCGGAAAGATTAGAAATGAGATGCGCGCGAAATTGTCGTTGAGAGCGGCGCCTCAAGGTCGCGGTGAAGGCCAGAGACGAGGAGGAGTTACATCACGCATGATATGTGTGACACACTATTGCGCTCGGAGGAGATAAAATTCGTTTGTCGCAATTAGCTTGAAATTAATTTAATACACGAAGATAAAACGAAGATAAAACGCGAAATCTTCTTCCGGTCTGCTGATACCGGCGATGAGTTTTCGAACTTCTCTTTTATCAATGACATAAAACACAGATTATCCTTATTTGTACGTCGAGCAATTAATTTATCAATTATCGTTACATAGTTTTTTTTTTTCAACTATACTCGCTCTCTAAGCGATATCTTATAATTGCGATGAAAATCCCGATTGAAAATAATTGACTGATAAAAACCGTATCTGCGACAATTATCGCGTGCGAATTTTTTTCGCGATGCGATTGCGAATGCAAGTTGACGCGACGAAGTAGCGCGTTCGTCGATTTTCGGTCGGCGAAAAACGCCGTTTCTTCTTTAATCAACGCGATCAGGCGCTTTATATACGCCCGTTGTCGCAGACACACACACACACACGCGATTGGCCGAGCGTGACGATGGTACGCCGACAACTTGTTGGAGGTACGGCATCAGCTGCAATTTCGCAAGGCTACCTCGCCCCGGGAGGGTTGGAGATAGTGAGAGTGGTCGAGGACAATGACGCGTACACACGCTCCCAGCCGTATTTCCCGCGCCCGAGGGAAAGGGGGTGGGCCTATGGTGGTGGTGGTGGCGGTGGCTGTTCACCCCCTGAACAAATCAATAAGTTCTCTTCGGGTTCGGTCGATGCACGCTCTTGAACCGAGTGCAATTGAAGTGCAAATTTCGCGACGCGAGTAGCAATTTGCCGTGTAATACCGTCGGCGCCTCTCTCTGTATTTTGTCAATTACGCGACTCTCTCTCTCTCGTCAAAAATATAACAAACGTAACGAACTTGCCGCGTCGCGGAATTCTGGTCCCCTAAGGTTAAGGATAGTTTTTCTTTTTTTTTTTCTCGGGGAAAAGATGAAGCGCGCACAAAAAAAAAACATCCTCTCTCGGACGAAAGAGGACCGTTCAATCCGAAGGATTACCGAAGGATAAGCGGCGGGGGACCGGTTTCCGCAACATGTTGGGCCCAGCTGTCGCTCACGTTTCGAGGAGAATTCCTCTCTGTGTGTTCGCGCTTTTCTCTCGTCCCTCCGGCGTGCGTGAAATTTCACACACGCCCAATAATCGAGCGCAGTGGACACGCGCGCGCGTGTCTCTCTCTCTCTCTCTCTCTCGGGCAAATTTTACTTTTAAACCTTTTTAAGTGCATATGTAATCCCCCTCCCTCGCGCCGGCCGCGTGTATCGATTTCCGACGTGTACGAGACTTACGAGAGTTACGTGTAATGAATAAAACAGCGCGCGCTCGCGGTCGCAATTTCCGGGGAAAACGCGCGCGCGCGCCTGCATATATATATATATATACGCGCGCCGCCCGTATTCGGGCTGATAAAGATTGCAGAAGAGAGACACGTGACATTTACGACGTAGCGGGATCGGAGAGTTTCTCTTTCAAACTTTTGTTCGCAAGTTCCGCTACGGCTAGGCCGATTCCGTGACAATGTCGCGTCGCGCGACATTTTTCTGACGCATTTTGTCGGCGATATCAGGTCGTTAATAATTAAAAAACAAAAACAAAATACGAATTGCCGAGCAGAACTTTCGAAAAGACAACAGGTAGGAGGATAATTTGCTAGATAACTTCTGCGATAAGGAAATACATACTCGCGGAAATTTTCCCGCTCGCTTTCGCGGACTAATGACGTAACCGTTAATTTCGCACGGGCGAGGGCGCGCGTGTAATGAGCACATGTCGACGTCGCCGAGGAAAACACGCGCGCGCGCGCGCGCGCGAAAAACGGCCACGCGCGATAGCGCGACTCCTCGCGGTCGAGTTGCAGCAGCTGTTGCACGCGACGCGTGGGATGCTCTTAAAATTTATATTCTATTTATAGGACACCGAGAGAGCGTGACGCGTAACGGACTCTCTCTCGGAAACCGAGAGACTTCGACAAT